CATAATGCTCTCCGGTCCCTCCCAAGTTAGGTAGTAATTTTCAAAATAATTTCTCCTGCGTATTGCGTAGTATTCCATTTTATGAATTACCACATCTTCCCAATCCATTCATTTGTGGTTGGACATCTGGGCTGTTTCCTGGAGCAATGTTTTTAAAAAAGTGTAACAGCACGTTCCCATTTTACAGATAAGGAAACTTGGGCTCAGAGACTCTATTACCCATTCATGTTAAGAAGTAGCAGATTTATGATTTAATCCACAGTATGACCTCATATAAAAATATGAATTGTTAAAAATTTTGACCATTTTCTGAACAACCTCTGTTAACTTTCTTGGTGTAATGCTTCTTTCCTTCTGTACCTTTCAAGCACAGAGTTTTCATTTTCTTCATATTTTTAACTAGTTTGTGTTTCTGTTAATACTAGTTAAACAGTCCATGCTAAGATAGTCTATCTCCCTTCCCTTTTTCTGGGATTTGTAAGGAACATTCGAAGAATAATCCACAGTTTCCACATTCTGTTTGAGCAGGGAGGAGGCTCCCCCAATACAGGCCCCCACAGAATGACTGGCTCTATCCCCTAGGTTGGTCACCTGAATTTCATAGAGAACCTCTTTCCTAAGCAGGGGTGGGGCTTTTGGTCTTTTCTAGGCAAAAAGGAAAACCCAAGAGGAAAAGCAAGTACAAGATCTTAGATGCTACTGATCAGGAGAGCCTGGAGCTGAAACCCAACTCCCGAGCAGGTAACGGCCCTGGGAGCTGCGGGAGAGCTGTCCAGGTTTATGTGATTTCCCTGTGAAGACCCACTATCCCTTCCACCGTATGCTGGTAGGGGTACTTGTTGGTGTAAGAAACACATTGTTCTTTTTCACTTGATCTAGGTGAGGAGTCCAGTGTGGCCTGAATGGCAGAAGCATCATAATGACAAGCTCTGGATCTAGGGCTCCTATCTCAGTGTTCAGTTTACTTTGCAGAGAGGCCAGGCCAGTGGCTTTCCTTTGCCTGCTGTCACCCTCAAGTTTACTGTCTGTGGAGTTCAGCTTCTGAGCTGCCCAGAGGGCAAAGTGAGGAAAAGTTGCTCTTTCCCTTTTGCCCTGCCTGCCTCCCCCATCTTCCTTCTCCGTCATTTGTCATATTCACAGCCTCTCTCATTATCAAAGAGCCGGTGGGTGGGCAACTTCCCTGCTGGTGCAAGAGCACTGGACTCATTGTTAGGTGACAGTTTCCTATAACATAAGCACTAAGATAATTTTTGTGAGGGTGATGGAGAGTTAGGGCAAGTGGTGGTCTCGTGCTCAGCTAGACTTGGCCATTTGGTGAGCCATTTCCATTTATCATGGTTACCACAGGCCAGGCGTCATATGCTTATGGGACCAGGACTCTATGTGAAGCTGTTTCTAAACACTATGCAAGTAGAACTATTTTTATACAAATTAGTTATAAGTTACTAGATACCTTTCATATTTAAAAGCTTCACATCAGAGGGTGGGGTAGGGGGTCGTACAGAGTCCAAGGCACAGCCTATACTTGGAATTTCAGTCTCATGGAGAAAAGATGTCATAAGACATTAGTGCTGCTGGACTCTGCACCAGGCAGTGCTGCTGGAGAACACTGTGAGGTGGTATGAGGAGGAGCACAACACAGCACTGCGTGTGGGCAGTACGGACCCAAAGGCAAAGACTACTCCACGCTGCAGCCGAGGTCGTTATGTCTGACCACGGCCTCCTACCTGACCAAACCTACCAGTGATTTTTCTGTTTACAACACAAGGAAGGTAGATCTTCCTGGTCCTGTACCCATGACCTTTGTGGTTTTTTTCTTCAAGGGGTTTTCTTCCTTGCTAATTGCTAATTTTTTTTTTTAATTTTTTGTGTGATTTGAGTGTAAGTGCATAAAGAAAATTGGTTTTTCATTCAACCATTCATACACATTTTGTTTTAAACTTTAGTTCTAATACACTCACCATAATCACACTTGTCCCACTTCTTCCCAATAATTCTCATTTCCGGCCTTCCGCTTCTGAGTTTTAACCTTGGGCAGATGCTGCTCTTTTGACCTTATATAATTGGTGGTTATTCTGAGAAGTGAGTGCCTCCCTGGTGCCACTGAATATCAGGTAGGCCCGTGTGGTGTTTGGCTGCATATTGAGCCATGGGAGTGTAACGAGGGATGATAGTCCCAGGGCTTTCCTGGTCCACGGTAGCCTAGTAGACCTGGCTGTTGTTAAGTCTTTGAGTTTTGTTCACACTTCCCTACATTACCCAGGATTTTCTACTGTGATCCCTTTCAGCATAGTCAGTGTGGAGCCAAGCACCATCTAGTCTTTCTGGCCTCAAGGTTGTGGAAGTGAGGCTCTCATGCTCCATTAATCCTTTGGACTGATTGTTTCAGTGCAGCTTTTCTTTCTTCTTTGTTCCAGATAGGGAGAGACCAATAGCTGTACTTTAGAACACTACTTAGTCTTTTAAGACCCCAACCTATACTTAGTAAAGTGGGATGTAGAACATTGTCATTTTGGACTGTGTTAAGCCATTTGACCCAGATGTTCTGTGATTCTTCTAACTAGCATTATCCAGAAAGGTCTTAAATCTTCTTCTTGATCTACTAGGTAAAGTTCTGTTTATCTTCCTCCTAAATACCTCTTTGAACATTTCTCTTAATGATTATAGTGAATTATAATTCAAGAGAACTCTGGTGCCCTAGTGGTTGGAGTTGCACTCGTAGCCCAAAGGCAGGGGTGTGAATGTGTCTGCTGCTCTGGAGGAAGAAGATGGGCAGTCTCCTTCAGAGCCATTTACAGCCTCTGAAAACCCACTGGAGGGTCACCTGTGAGTCTCTTCTGACTCTACTCCAGTAATGAACGAGTCAATGATTTATTATAATCAATTATGTATTTTTTGTCCATTTTCTTACTACTCAGTGAAATCTTGAGGGCAGAGACAGTATCCCAGTCATCTATGAATAAGGATTGAATGATTGAATAAGTATGCTAGGCCCTATGGCAGAGGCTGGTTATATTGTGAACCAGACATAAAAATTCTGATCTTGGATAGTTTTTGTCACACCGACATTAAATAAATACATTCACGAATACACAAAACATGATAAGGAAAGATCTTTCTAAGGATAGCACTTAATGTGAGACCTGAAAGGGAGTTAGGTAACTCCCTCTCATTGCCGTGGAGTCAAACCGTCTCATAGCTGACCTGCCAGCAGGCTTCTGAGGCTGTAAATCGAAAAGGATGAGATTGCCGATTTTTCTGCCTGAGAGATGCGATGGATTTGAATGAAGTGCTAGAGCAGTGAGGGAGCTCGGCTCTGCAGATAATGTCACCAGAGCTCCCTTCACCAAGTAAAGACTCCAGGAAATAGCATTTCAGAGGAAAGAGCAAAATAGGGAAGGGCCAGCTTCAGGCAGGAACAAGGTCTTTGGAAGGGAGATGGCAGCACTGTGCAGGGCTGGTGAGCAAGGGGTCACAGCACAAGGCCGGGAGGTGAGCTGGGACCTGGGGGACTTCCTTCTAAGATCGATGGGGAGCCACTGGCTGTTTTTTTAAGGGATGAATGATGTGATTTGATTTCCGTTTTTAGAAGACAGCAGTAGCTGCTGTTTGAAGGAGTTGGAAGGGTTAACAGTAGGTAAGAGATTAAATTCTTATGATGGAGAGATAATAAAATAGAGGCAAACTGACTTAAAATACACTATGAGGGAAAAGTTGATGAAATCAGTGATGTGTTGGCCAAAGGATGTGAGAGAGAGAATCATAAAGGGTGATTCTCAGAGACGCTGTTTGAGCATTTCCGTGGGTGGGTGATGTCTGTCATTTCCTGGGAAACGTGGATGATCAGGTGCCTGATTTAGGATGATTACGGATGAGGGTTGGATTAGAGGATTGACTAAAACCAAATTTCCGAAAGTTGAGCATGAGAGGTTAAACGTTTACGCTAGAGCTGACATTTTGAAAGAGATTTTACAATAGTTCAAAAGAATGTGATGATGCTTCAGAATTGTGTGGTGTCATCCAAGATGGGAAGACAGGAAAGAGACCAACCGACCACAGATAAAGAGACGGTAGTGCTGTTGACAGAATCAGGACCCTCTGGTACAATGACTAGGTTAGGGAAAATTAATTAAATGGTGGGAAGAATGAGTAGGGACAAAAGAGGTCCAGAGCTGAAGAGCAAAGAAGGACCGTCATGGGGAGGAAGGGACTCGTTCATGTGCGTCATCAGTCAGCGTTTGATACTGCAGAGGCCAAGGAATAAGAGGTGAGGGCTCCCATTGGTCACTTACAGAGATAGAGTGGAATGATGGATGCCACCAGAAGTAAGCAAGGGTCATTTAGGTAGCAAGGTGGTAAGGAAATCAAGACCATAAATATAAAAAGGAAACTTAAGATGTTGAGCAGTGAAAAAAAGAAGAGGAATTTGAGGGGACAGCAAAGTCAATGCTTCTCCTTGATAAGAAATTCCTGACACATTTGCAGCAGAGATGTAGAAAATGGGGAGTCCATCAAGAAGTGATATTCCTGAGCAAAAAGGAAGTAAGGGAAGAGGGAAGTTAGAGAATTAATTTACTCTTCTAAGGCAGGAGGAGGGAGCTCTGGTGGCCTAGTGCGCTACAGTCCTGAAGCCATGGAGTTCGAATGCCACCTGCTATTCCATGGGAGAAGGACGGGCAGTCTCCTCCCATGAAAACCTGCCAGAGGATCAGTTATAGGTCGTTCTGACTTGACGGTACACAACAACCAGGCAGGAAGGAGGGAGTAGTTCTGGTGGCCTAGTGATAAGCAACTGTGCTGCAGTCCCAAAGGCACATGGTTTGAATCTACCTTCTGCTCTGCAGGAGAAGGATGGGCAGTTTCCTGCCATGCGCTTTACTGTCTGAAAACTGCTGGAGGGTCAGCTATGGGTTGGTTCTGACTCAAACACAAACAACTACAAGAAGAAGGCAGGCAGGAAAGACAAGAAAGGATGAATGTGGCACCAAACAGAGCTAAAGTGCAGAGGAGAAATCAGGAACCCTAGTCATAACATATCAGGCTTTTTAGTGAATGACAGGGAGGGAAAGCTGGCTAGTGTGGGGAGGGGCGGTGGCAAAAAGCTGGATCAGCTTCATGCCTGCAACTAGAGCCAGCTGAGGAGTATCCGGAATTCAGAGCGTTCCCACTCTGAGGGTTTGAGGTGCAGAAGGTTGCCAGAAGCATGGTGGTTGTCTGCCCTCCGAGGTCCCTTCAGCCATTTAGCATCAGAGACAGATTTACATGTCCTTGAATATGATGACTTTATCCACAGGGCTGTGGTTTACCTTCAGTAGCTTGAGTCTGTTCCTCTTCCCCCCCAAATGGTCTGTATTTGATTAAATTAATCAAATTAATGAATTTAAATTTTTAAATTGATACTTAACTTTGATCTATAAAAATGGCAACTACATGTGGTCCAACCTAATATACATGAAAATACAGAGTATAACTTGATGAGTTTACACATGAGCTTGTGTATGACCAGCCCTCCAGAAGTCCCGGCTTTGTGCTGCTTTCCAGGTTCTCCCTAGGCCACTGTCCCCCACATCCTGGATTAGTCCAGCACGCTGGCCTCTGGTCTGCCTTACTGAGAAGGAGAGGGGTCAGGCAAGGCTAGGGGCACAAGTGTTGGCACAAGCATTTCTCAGCAATTACTGGGATGGCAGATAGAGAGTCCCTGGTGGATGTGATCCCAGCTGACTCAGGACAACAGACACGGTCAGGTTCTGGACACCTCCAGCCCAGAGAAGCCAAGGCCACAGACAGCCTGCAGCAGGGCTCACCAGGGAGGGACAGATGAGCAAGTTCTGTGTCAGGACACTGATGGGTTTTTGGGTTACCAGAGCAGCCAGGAGAGCGGACAGAGCATGACTGTTGGATAATGTTGTCAGACAGTGCTGGTGATGCCTTGTTCAAACCCAAACACCTCACCTGACTTACCACCTTTGTAAGAAAGGAGGTAAAGTGTAGCTCCTGCCTTCCCTTTGGGAAGTTCTCACTTCTAGTCCAGCCACTGCACCTGACTTTTGCTTTCTCTGAGGTGGTATTTTGAACAACCATCTTGTTGTTGGCTTGAACGTTGTCTAAAGTTATTTATTAACATTTGTGGTAGGGGTGTCTCTGCAGCCACTAAGATTGGTGGTGAGGCTGGAAGCTCTCAGGCACTTTTTGGGCCCTTCCTTTGCTTTGGTGTTCTGGTGAGCTGATTGCTTAGTCATCTTTTTTTTTTTCCTTCCTTTCTTTTTTTTTAAAGTTTTTTATTATTATTTTATTATTTTGTGTGTGTATGTGCGTGTACTGTCAAATCAGATCTGACTAGTACAGGAGGAGATTGTCCCTCCTTTTCCCGGCAGAGCATCTGGTGGATTTGAACCGTGTGCCTCTGGGAGCTTAGTCATCTTAAAAAGCAAAACCAAAACCCCCCACATCCACTATTGAGTTTATTCTTACTTAAAATGACTCTCCATCAGGTTTCCAAGGTTTACTGGAGGAGACTGCCCATGGTTCTCCCTTCAAGCATTTGGGTGATTTAAGCAGCGGACATTTCAATTAACAGCCTAGTGTCTTATGCCACCATGCCATTATTGCTCCTTTACTTACCTAAAGTGCTGCTGTAACAGAAAAACCACAAGTGAATTGGCTTAACAAACACTTTTAGATACAGTTTAGGAGGTTAGGAGTCCAGACTCAGGGAGCTGGCCCTTGGGGAAGGCTTGCTTTCTTAGATGGCTCCAGAGGAACATTCTTGTCTCTTCAGGTTCTGTTGTTACGTGCTGTCGTGTCAACTACTAGCCCTTTTAGACAAGATGCCCAGAGAAGATGAGATAAAATCCTTGCCTCCAGGGAGTACTTTGGTTGCATTTCTTCCAAAACAGATCTGTTTGTTCCTTTGGCAGTCCTTGGTATATGCGGTATTCTTCTCCAGCATCACAATACAAAGGAATTTTCTCTCATCCTTAGTCACTGTCCAGTTTTCACATGCATAGAATACATACAATTGAAAATACCAAGGTGTTTGTCAGGTGCATCTTTAAACTGGCATTGTCCTTCTTTAGCATTTGGAGAGGTCATTGAAAATAGATTTTCCCAATTCAATAAGTATTTTGATTTCTTTTTTGTTACTGTTGTTGGGACAGGATTATTTAAATTAGTGTTGTTAGCAAAAACAAATGGTTAATGTGTCAAAATCACAACCTTAAAACACCATTTAAAGCCATAATTAACATATACCAAGACCATTTGGTATTTTCAAATTCTTTCTTTGATGAGGAGGCTGGCAGTCAGGTTTTTTAGGAACTCTTTCAATTTCAGCTTCATTTATTTCAAGTTACTTGGCCCATCCAATCAAGAACTTGCTTTCTTCAGCTGGAAATAGGTACCTAGCTATGCATCCAGTTTGATGTCTGGGTTTACCTGATGATGGTAGAAAATCCTCCTCTTGAATTATGCCGGGTTTCAGCCACCAAAATGTTACTATGCAGTCAGTGCTCTAGTGTGCCCTTCTCACACAGGCAAAAGAATTCTAGGTGGAAGACTAGAGAAGAGGTTAGGGTTAACCCTAACCCTAAGCCAAGTACCAAAATATTACAGCGCCCAGCAATTCTAGTGTTTCTTGGGAGAGCAGACTTTAGTTCCTGGAGCAAAGCTTTTTATTAGAGCACAGGGAGGAGAAGAAACAGTAAAGATTACATCTAAGATTTATAAAGTTACATTACATAAACATTTACAAAGTTACATCTCTACAGAGACAGATCTGCTGCCCTAAAAGAAAATGCAGAAGGGAGGCCCAATCTTTTGATTTCTTGACTACTGATGTGGATTGTGGATCCAAGTATTGACAACTTCAGTCTTTCTCTGTCATGATTTTGACTATTGATCCATTGGTGAGGATTGTTTTGTTGATGTTAAGATGTAACATCCATATTGATTTTTTTCCCTCCCCAGTAAGTGTTTCAAATCTTCTTCACTTTTTCACTTTCTGCAAGCAAGGTTGCAGCTTCTCCTTTCTTGGTAATCTGTTGTGGCTGCTATTTTACCTTATCTCTGTTCATTTGTTTAATCACTTTTCTTTCAAGAGATTAAATAAAAATATATCCAACACTAACTTTGCCTAAGAAGCATAACAAAGACAATCCATTCCTGAATGGGATGATAATCACAATCCTAGAGGTTACATTTTATAGCATAAATATAAATAGTTGTTGAGTACATAGGAACTGATCCATAGCTGCCCCTCCAGCAAGTTTCCAGAGTAAAGTTTTCAGTAAATCACACTGGAGAAGATTAGATTGCCCATCTTTCCTTAGAGCTTCTCGTGTGCCTTTGGGTTGGCAGTACAGCTCCTTACCATATATATAGATATGAAGGAAGGGGGCACCATTCAATTCATAACAGGCTGTCTCTGCAATCCCCACCTCAGTCAGAGGACTCTCAGCAGAGGAGACTTCTCTCACCCACCATTGCCACACCATCAAGCCAGTGCCAGCCAAGAGCTTGGCAGCCCATCGAGCAGACATCCACGTAAGCGTAAAACTGCATTGCCCTCCATGTCAGGGGTGCTTCCTAGTACTTGACACACTCACTGAGCCCCTGACACTGTGGCTGTGAGCTTTCTCTAGTCTGAGTTCCTATTGCCTCCTGTTTGATACCAGACTGTTCAGAGACGAGAAAGCCTTCTGAATTTTAAAGATGAAGGAAAAATGACATCATTGGATGCTTTAGATGAAGAAATGCCTGACATCAGGGGTTAATATCAGATGTTTCTTCCTCTCCACCCTTTTATCCCACTTACTTTTAAAATCTCTCCAGCAATAGCACACACTGAACTGTTACTTTATGCTAGGCATATGTTGTTTGTTGTTGTTATGTGCCGCATATATATTTTCTTATTCATTCACTTAGCTAATATTTACAAGCATCAGCTATATGCTGTGTTCTAGGTGCTAGAGAAAGAACCAGTATATGAAACAAATGCCCCTGTGCTTAGGGAAATAGTCACATAATCCCACATCAGCCCTGTGGAGTATGAATTATTATAGTGATGTGGAAACTGAGACTCAGAGAAGCAACATAGCCAGTGGCAAACAGGTAGGTAGGGTTGGTTGAACTAGCACTGGACCCCTCTGTGCAGGTCACCAGTTTACATTCTGTGACTTCGCTTAGCCAGTTGCTACCACCAGGACTGGGAAGAGGACTTGGAAGGCAACCTTCCCATCTGCCCTGGCGTAGAGGGGGAGTGCCCCTCTTCAGGCTGGGTTGTGGGTACAAGGTATGGTTTGACCATGTAATGTTTGTGCCCTGAGCTGGCTTCCTCACCTTCCTTGCAGGCATCAAGCAGAAAGGTCCGATGCTGAGCAGTAGCCTGATGCACTCTGAGTCAGAACTGGACAGCGATGATGCCATCTTCACGTGGCCAGACCGAGAGAAAGGCAGACTCCTGCATGGTCAGAATGGGTCTGTGCCCAATGGGCAGACCCCACTGAAGGCCAGGAACCCACGGGAGGAGATCTTGTAGCTACCTGGTCTGTCTACTCAGAGGCAGAGGGTGGACAGTGCCAGGGCTCAGAGCACCGTCGGGTTGGGCTCTCAGACCTCCCAGGTCTGTGGGCAGCTGCTCTCCCAGCACCTGCTGATCACTCTACCCTAACTTCCCAGCCAGAACTGCAGGTACTTGAATCCAGAGACATTCTCCAGGAACCCCTGAAGAAGCTGTGAATGAAGAGGTTCCTCTTGGAACCTACTGATAGGCCCCAGAAGATCCTTACCTCAGGGCCTCTTGTTTTGAAAACTCCTTCCTTGCCCCAGCCATCTCCCTGCCTCCTCTCCAGCTTCTGCGAGCAGCATGGCTGTTCAAGAGCACCCACAAGGCAGGGAGGCCTGGCTATGACCCAGAAGTTCTGCTAAGAGCTCCCTCCTCCCCCATGCTTGGAACACAGAACCAAGCACTACCAAGCTCTTGCACCCAGCACGCACATGTGGTCTGCCCCGGCTGGCTGTCTCTGGGATGGAGCACAGACAGCCTCTTGGTGGACCAGGAGGAAAGGAGCATCCCGTGCTGAGAGACCTGATTTCTGGTTCCCTTTGCACTGGAACTCCAATCCCTTTTCCATCTGCCCAGAATTCTGAGATGATTCTGACATTTCAGGGATGCATAGGGGCTGCAGAGGTTTGTTGTATCGGAGCTGCTGGGCTGGACAGATGGTCTCACCTCCTCTTCTTGGATTAGCACTTGCTGCTGCAGGGCTCCGGCCACCACTCCCTATACCCAGAGGAGACGACCACAACTAACTGGAATATTTTGGCATGAGTGCATGTGTGTGACTGCCTCACTGTGGTCCCTTTGGCACTCTGTGTCTTCTCTCCATGCTCCTTGCATGTGTGTGTGTGAGTGTGTGTGTGTGCATCAACTCCTCATAGGGTTTTGGACATTAGAAGACAAAGACAAACTTGACTTGGGAAATTAGCTGCTTAAAACAGAGACTTCCTAAGTCCCTCTGGCCCCACCACAGGTTCCTCAGCCATGGTTATCTGGGTGTTGAATGGGAGCTTTAGAGGAGAGACTTTTTTAAAAAATCATTTAGGATTTATACTGCTGCACTACTGTCTGTTGTGAGATGATTAAACCTGCTATTTAATTGTACACTTGTGTGCTGGATGTGCTGCCTCTTGGGCCTGTGCTTTAGGCCTCTCACCTTGTGCAGGAACTTCTGGGAAAATAATCTTGGGCCTGGCCTCAGTGTCCACATGTGGCAGTGTGTGCACCCATAATCAGCTTCCTGCCTGGCACAGGTGGACGGCAGGATTCCACTCCTGCACTCTCAGTGGCCAGCTGCTACCCACAGCCAAGAGAGGGAGGTTTTTCTATCCTTTCTTCTCATGCCTTTTGTCAACACAGAGGTGACTTGTCTCCATGTGTCTAAACTAGGCTACGACCTTTAGAATTTCTTGAAGCACTTGTTGCAGAAGATCAAGGAATGCAGCCTTTGGTATGGATTGCATCTCAATGTCAAGAAAAAAAACATTCTTAGCACTGGATTGATCAGCAACAACATGATGATGGAGAGGAGATTAAAACTGTCAACAGCTTCATCTTGCTTGGATCCACAATTAACACCCTTGGTACCAGCAGTCAAGAAGTACAGAGAAACATTGCACTAGGAAAATTTGCAGTTAGGGACTTGTCCAAATTACTGAGAAATAATGATGTCAGTTTGAAGATTAAGGTACATCTAATTCAGGCCATAGTCTTTCTGATCTCTTGCTATGCATCTGAGAGCTACTAGACAACGAATAGGGATGACAGAAGAATTGATACCTTGTTGGAGATGACCTCTGAACATCCCATGGATGGCCAGGAGAACAAATAGACATGTCTTGGATAGGGTGCTCTTTGGAGGCAGTGATGATGAGGCTTTGCCTTACGTACTTTGGGCATGTTGCTAGGAGAGACTATTCCTTGGAGAAGGACATGAGGCTGGGAAGGGTAGAAGGTTGGCGAAGGAAAGGAAAACCCTCGACCAGGTGGATTGACAGGGTAACTGCTGCAACAGGCTCTTGTGTGTCAGAAGCATTAGAATGGCGCTGGATAGAGCAGGGTTCAGACCTGTTCTTAGGGTTGCTATGAATTATACTCAACTCGATGGCACTTCGCAACTCATTGAAGACCATCTTTTTTATCTCTATTTCAGAGATAAAAATTCTATTTCTTCTCCTTTCCCCCCCACTATAACAGAAAACAAAAACCAGGAACTCATGCTCCTTTCCTGGCTCAAGATCTGGCCACATCCCTAGTCTTCTCTGACTCAGAAGAGTGCCAGAAATCCGCAGAACTGCTTAAGAAGAGCCAGGCTATAGTGAGCCCAGCTCAAATCAATCCTTTCTATTCACGTTTTCAAATAAGACTTCATTCTAGGAACCTGGGCACCTTGGTTTCACCAGAACTTAGCTTGGCCAAACATTGCATTTTCACCAAAGGTCTCCACAGTCTTTCGTTTCTAGAGTATCCCAATAGAAGAGACGCTTGGTTCTGGAACTCTGTAGAGAGCCTGTCATTACCAGGAGCCAGCACTCCAAGGAACCAGTGAGGATTGGAGGCTGCATGCTTGGCCTTCCTGTTTGGGAAAATAATGGTTTAAGATGCAGATTCTTGTTCTGCCTCCTCTTTGGACTGAACTGATTAAGTCCTTCCCTCAGTGAGGGGGGCTCTAAGGTAAGTACGGAGAGAAGGTGAGTGCAATCCAGAGATCAGGAAGGGGATCCATAGAGCATGGATCAGGTCACCAGCTCTGGATTTGTGCTGATTAGTAAAGAGCTCCATGATCTCTGATCTGGCCAAACCTGGGCACGTGGGCCACTGTTGCAACTCTTACTGCCCGACTGACATCTAGCTTTCACAGGGCCGGGCAGTAGCTTTTTACTCTTGTTGCACAAGGCTCAGGTGGTCTGTACCAAATGTTGCCTAGACAGGTAAAACTCCCCTTTCATGACCTTTCATGCTTGACCTTGGCCATGTGTCTATCCAGCTTTCAAAGCAGATGTGAAAAACCCACTCTGCCTGGCTTGTCCACCCTCACACCTACACTTAGCGATTTCCAGACTGCATGCACTTGTAAGTAATTCTTTCAGTGCCCTGACATACTCTGGCTGCATAGCAAGAGTCACCTGGCAAAACAGCTATGAGATATCATCTCACCCCAGTAAGAAGAGCAAAATTTAACAGAACAGCAAGCAACAAATGCTGGCGAGGTTGTGGAGAAACTGGAACCCTCATTCACTGTTGGTGAAAGTATAAAATGGTGCAACAACCACTGTGGAAGGAGGTGTGGTGCTTTCTCAGAAAGTTGCGATTAGAAATACCATTTGACCCACCGGTTCCACTACTGGGAATATACCCCAGACACCATAACTGACATCCAAGCAGATATATGCACACCCATGTTTATCACAGCTTTGTTCACAATAGCAAGGAGTTGGAAACAACCCAGGTGCCCATCAACGAATGGATAGAGAAGCTGTGGTATATTCACACAATGGAATACTGCGCTGCATTGAAAAACAAGGAGCTTATGCAATATTATTCAAAATGGGTGACCCTGGAGGACATTATGCTGAATGAAATATATATCTCTGTCACACAGAGACAAATACTGCATAGTGCCACTGTTGTAAAATGGGACTGACATTGGGGTTGAGGGGAGACTGAGAAAGATGGGTTCAGTAATGTATACTGCATTGAAACAGATGAGGGAGAAAACTGTTTAAAAAGGATATGTGATTAGGTATTATTGTCATGAGTCCAGAGCGAAGGCTGCATAGTGGAGTGGACCTGGGGGAGGGACTGTAAAACAATGAAAGAATCTTTCACTTTTCAAAGAGAAGAGTGTACTGGGAGTCGGGGCAGGGAGAAAAGTGAAACAGTGATTGAATGGAAATCCTAGGTTGCTGTAAATTTTCATTAAAATTAGTAAAAAGAATTATGAGAAAATGAAAAAAAAAAAAAGTCACCTGGGAACTTTAAAACTGCGGTCTCAAGCCTGTACCTCAAAGACTAGTTTCATTTTTAAGTATATAATTGTTTGTTTATTCTTCCATTCTGTTCTGTGTCCTAAAGAAGGCAAAGCCTTCAGTAACCCCACTCCAAAAGGCCATTGGACCAATTAGCCTTGAGCAGCAAGGCAGCAAGCAAGCACACAGGCACTCCAGGCTTTTCCTCACGCTGGGAGGGATCCTTGGCATTGATTGTGGCAGATTTGTTGTTCATCAGACTGGCTTCCCTCTTCCAGGACTCACTTAAAACCTCATTGCTAGTTAGTGGGAATCCCTAGTTCTGAAGCTGTCATCACATGGAAGGAGGCTGCCTGCCTGTCTTTCTCTCATGGAGCTGCTGGTGGTCTAAACCGCCATTTCTGGCATAGCTCTGGTGAACAGCATGGCTCTCCTCAGACTGCCATCACAGCCTGTGCCGTGTTCAGTCCGTGAAATACAGGCAGAAGGGGAGTGTCATCCTCAGGCTGCCCTAGGCCACACCCAGGTGGTCCTCACTCGTGTCGGCCAGAGGGAGAAGATGCTCCTGGATTCAAACACCACCAAAAATGATTGTTGGATTGCTAGGATGGAAAGAAATTTTATTGTGCTGGGGGAAGAAAACAAACCCAAAACTCAAACTCACTTTTGCCAGGCTGGGTCTTCCACCAGGTGCCTCAGGCTTTAAGTAGCAACAGGAGTCTGTCCTTTTCCTTGTGGAGCCTCTGGTGGCCTTCTTTCCTGTGCTTGTCCTGTTTCCCCTCAAACAGAAGTTAGCACAAGTTAAGATTGTGGGCCCAGGTCTGCTCTGTGACAGAGTTGGCACTGATGTCTCCACCTGTTGTTGGCAGGTATGTCCGGTACGACTCAGCAGCCCTATGAACAACGAATCTGAACCCTATCAGATTTGTCCTGTCTTGTGCTGTCCTCTTCACTGACTTGAGCCCACTGGTGCAGTTCCTCTGGTTCAGGGTCTTTTTTTCACTGTCCTTTCTAAGCATAATGCCCCTTCCAAGGAGTATCTCCCAGAAAAAGGCCCAAAGTATGTAAAATGAAGCTTCATCATCTTTGCTTTCAAGGATATATCTTCTCCAAGACATGTTTGTTCCTTTGGCAGTCTGGAATATTCAGCACTCTTCTCCAACACCACAGCACAAAGGCATCAGTTCTTCTGTCATCTTTATTCATTGTCTAGCTTTCAGCAGTATAACAAGTGATGGAAGACTATGGCCTGAAATAGGTACACTTTAGTGTTCAAACTGATATTATTGCACCTCAGTA